GTCGACCCCTCTGGAGAATTAGAGAGCGTCGACCCCTCTGGAGAATTGGAGAGCGGAGGACCCACCTCAGAGGCTGCGTGCAGCGTGGGGCCCACCTCAGGAGTGGATGAACAAGGAGTCTTTAGAGTCTTTACTTGGGATAACAAAAAATCATACTCGGGGAGAAAAGAAAGGCCTGGGATAGAAAGTAAAAAATCCTCCATCTGGGTTAAAACTAAATCAAAGGAGGACGGGTTATTTTTAACTGAATTAAAAAGTTCAAAAAGGGCTTGATTAACCTGAAAAATATTTTCAGGGGAAAATGAATGAAAAAAGGGAAAGTGTGAATGAGAGGATGTGGTGACGGGTGCCGCCCCCACCGGAAACCTGGGAGGTGAGGCGGCGGGACACGCCCCCACGGAGTCACACTGAAAACTCTCCGGAGGTACGGCCGGGCTGGGTCGAACAGCCGCAGCGCGGAGTGGCGGTGAGAGGCCGGGTTCCGCCCCCACCAGGAACCTGGAAGGTGAGGCGACGGAACCCGCCCCTGTAACGTCAACTGGACCGGACTTACCGAACCGAGCAGGAGTGGACCGGAGCTCCCGCGGGACGCTGGATCTCGCCCCCACCGGAAACCTGGGAGGTGAAGCGACGGACCCCGCTCCCACGAAAACACCGGAACCAGCTCTGAAGTTCTGCTCGGCCGACGAGAACGGCCCGGTCGCAGCAGACTGCCTCCGGAACCGTCCGCCGCGGCGGCGGCGGGACGGTGGATGGACGGAGACGGAGAGGAGCTCGTCCATCAGGCACGAGGAGGGAAAAAAAAGAAAAATGTGTGAGTGTTGCCGAGTGAGAACCCTGCCCGCTGGGTTCTGTTCTGGTCGGGTCGTACTGTCGTAGTTTGCGGTTAGCAGCGAACCCAGAGTGCAGAACAGGGACTCAACTCGGCAGATATACAAAAAATATGTTTTAATGGAAAATAAAAGTACAAAATAAACAAGCTGACGGAGCAGCAAAACTTACAAGAATAAGGCAATGGTAAAAGTACAAAATAAACAAGCTGACGGAGCAGCAAAACTTACATGAA